GCTTTTAAAAATGCCTTCTCCTCTCTTTTAAAAACTACTTGATTACTTTCTATTTGGAATGTCCTGGAAAAAAACATTGCTTCCTAATGCCTTTAAGAACTTGCATGTGCACTAAGAACAAAGCATCACTCCCGCAATCAGCAAACTGCCCTTCATCACTGACTCAAAAGCTTTTCAGAAGTTCCACAGTAATTTGGTTTGTAAATTCACAGAAGCAAGTAGGTTCCACCAGATCAATACATTGGAAACTCATCAAAAAAGAGCTAATCATAAGCAATACTTAAACGAATGCCTGATTTTTATTGCCACAGTTGCACTGTAGATATTCTCTGCATCATATATTTCAGTAACACATTGATTGCAAGCTTTTACAGTCAACACAATGTAAGCAAGACAGGAAGATTTATCTGGACAGAAGGTACATGGAGATTCAAATTAAGAATAAGCATTTGTTTAAGTTTTTTCCAGCTGCTCCAATCATTGGCTGGGAGCATTAAGACGTGAGCTTTGCTTTAAACATTACATTTTGTTCCTTATTTTAAATTTTTCTGTTATGGAAATGATAAACAACAGGATTTTGTACAAAGCAATATACACAGGTGTCACCCAGGCACAATCTGCTGTTATGTGAGAGATTATCAATCTTCTTCCTACAACATGTACTGGCAAAAATGTGAAATAATAAAATGAAACATGAATGCAAGCACATATGGTGTCACAGATTTTGTTTACACAGCAAGTAGTGAGGTGATATAGAACAGAATAGTAGAGCAAACCACTTAATGCCAATGCTCTTTACCTTTTCCATTATATGCTGTTTGAGGTTTATTTTAGGCTAGATTTTGCCTTGTTCACTTCACCAAAAATGCAGCTCACAGTTTTCTGACGGAAAGCTACCTTACAGATCTTTGCTCCCTTCACTAAATGGACTTCTGGGAATTGTCATTCCGTTCCTTTCACTTGTTTCCTGCAGATGACAGTAGCATGTCAGTTCATGCATCGTCAGTACACTCCACCACAGGGTTTCTATATCCCCCATCTTCCATTTCTCTTCTGTTCACAGAACCAAAACATATGCCAGTGCCTTCTTGCCAAGAAGGGAGAGGATCAGTCATGAAGTCCTCTGTGCCAATAACCAGCACAAGAGAGGCTGCACATGTGCACTCTGACAACAGCGCAGCAGAGGCCTAATTTAACTGTGCTTTTACTCAATGCATAATGGAACTGCAATCAACATTGCTCATCTGAAAGACACTGGGCTATGGGGAACATACACTCTACAAATATTTTTAATATTCTTACAAATTCAGGGTACTACTTTTAGTCTGAACCAACAGTGAGGACATCTTCAAGATCTTCCTTCAGGCTGAAACGCTCAGCACAGCTTCTGCAGTATCTGCACAGTCCTCTGCTCTCTTTGTCATGGGTGGGGCAACTAGCAATGTACTTGTGTCCGGACTTTATCCTTCACTGAAAACAGTCATCAACCCACTGAGCATCCAGGAGAGCATGGAGTGGGATGGGAGGAATACCACTGGACATCAATGTCTGCAATCTGGCAAATGTTATGGTATGATTAGAAAAGAACTGATTATGGTATGATTAGAAAAGAACCCCCAATCCTCCTCTCTGTTATCAGGTTTTCCCCCCTCTGCTTCACACACTCCCATGCTTCAATCCAAAATCCTGTCTAATTCAATTATGCCTGACTGCAGCCTGCCATGTTCTTCCCTTTATGACCTTTTCTGAGTGTGACTTGGGGCCAAGAAATAGATAATATATTGCCAACAACCACCACCTGCATTTCAAAGAAATGGTATCATACTGCATGGCATTTGTTGTTCAAGCATCTGACTGCAGGCAGGAACACGTGGTTAGAAGTACCAGCACCACTACCACCATTGGGTAGGTCCTTAACACACTGCATTTGAGACTGTGGCTGGGCTTTAGTGCAGAAGCTGAGGGGGCCTGTGTAATCAAGGCACGCCATGTCCACGGATTATGTGGTTTCCAGGATTATGCCTAGTACACAGGCAGAGCTGGGATGAGGTAAGTGGTCTCTCATGGAGCTTGTTGCTTCTCAGAATGTCACAGCCCCCCAGAAGTCGTTCCTCTATGCACAGCACCTCTCACAGGCAATTCAGACTCATGCTGCCTTCCCACAGCTTTGCAACCAACGAATTCCACCAGAAACCTCCTGAGCACAGTCCACTCAATACATGTACAGGAAAGGAAGATGCACACATACTGATGTGGGCATCTGGACCATTACCTATTGCCCGCTGAGGCAGAGGGGATGCTCATGCATGTTGTCTCTGGGGGTTGCAGGCATATATCATAGAAATATAGAAACACAGAATGGCTTGGGACAGAAGGGACCTTAAGGTTCCAACCTCCCTGCCGTGGGACTTGTTCAGAGCCCCATCCAAACTGGCCTTCAACACTTCCAGGAATGGGGCATCCACATATGGACATGTTTAGCACTGTAAGCCCACTTTTCCCAGGACTTTTCTCACACATTGTTGGTCCTGGAACTAAGGGTGTTGATGTTTTCATTCTCAGTGGGCTTGGTGGAGTACTCTCTCCTCCACTGAAGTTCTATTTGAGATGTCTATGGTAAGGGCACACACACCATGCCACATCAGAAGAATGGTTTTTCCATCTCATCAAGAAGATGACCTTCATCTAATTGAACTTAATGCAGCACTACTTGTCAGCCCTGCCACATCCTGCAGCAGACTCGACATTAGTAACAGGGTGGTGTTTAACAGGGTGCTGGAGAAGCTTTTGGGCCTTTCAGAGCACATGCTGTTATTGCCCCTTGCTCAGTATTCTGGGACACCAATGCAATGCCTGTCACTATTGGAAAATACAGCAACAGGAAAGAGGAGTAACAGCAAAAGAAATGGGGTTGGTGAAGAGGATAGATGCAAAAGCTTTTGAGAACTAAAGGAGCAGTTGATACTCAGAACAAGCAGACATCTGGCAATCAGTAAATATGAAGTCTCCCATCACACTTGGCCCTTTTGCACAGCAGAAGAAGCACTTCAGGATAAGGTGTGAGCTCTCAATTGTTTAAAAGCTTCCCGTTGGTACACGTGCTTTTCTTTTGTCCTAGAAAACTTAACTCCACAGCGGTGCAGTCCCACTCATTGGATCTTACCATTTGATCCCAAGTGGCAAAACTTGTGTCAGCTTTCTCTGTAAAGATGGCATTCATATGACTAAAACCCCTCTGTGAATCAAATCAACAGGCAGGGACAATCAGAGGACTTATTTCAGAACTGCACTGCTGCTGTGATTTGAAATATCACGTAGACACATCCCTAATGACAACTGCTGTTCTGGACTTGAGGATTCTTGACTGACTTCAAGAGGCATCTTCTGCTTGTGAAAATCTCACTTTTACAAAGATACTGAATTTTGAGCAGTAAAGCATACTTCTAACTTCCAAAATAGGAAGTAGCAAGCCACAGTCAGTTCTGTAGTCTCTGATGCACAGCAGCATTCAAAAATTTGAAGGAATCGTATTACAACTGCCCATGCCTTTTCAATACTCAGGATTCAGAAACATATTTACTAAAAATTCAGGAACAACCCCAGAAGCAGCTGCCCACCAACAGAAGTGCATAAGTTCATTACAGTGAAGCACAACTCAACAATACCAATTTAAATGGTTGTGCAAAGATTGAAGGATTGTTTTGATAATGCTTATTCCTGTAAACAGTAACAATCCATTTCTGTTCTAGGATGGTCATCTTCACTTCTACAGTGTAATAACAAGAAAATAGAAAAAGTTCGGTTGTAATAAATATTTTCTTAAGCAGAACTTCTGCACATATGATAAAACAGTATGTTTCTGCCGTGTCATGCTGACTCCCCTGCTCCAGACATACTGGGTACAGATGGTGCTCTAACAATCGTTGTATTTACAGTGTCATCAAAGCTTATTTCATGCCCTCGGTATCCACTACATTCATGCACATCTGCAGTTCTTGTACGATCTGAGTTACGATTGCATTTCCCTCAATGTTCACACGTTTCTAGCTATCACTACAAACCTACAAAGGTGATCAGCATGCCGTGATGGCAGATCTAAAACAACTTCTGCTTCTGGGACCACTGAAAAAGATAAAGCAATTAGTAGGTGGGCATCATGCTTCACAGTGTTGTCGGAGAAGCTGGGATATATCCAGAAATCCCAACATCAAGCGGATGCAAACAACCAAGTCTCAGCACACTTAAGAGCTAATAACATCAGTGTTTTTACATAAAATGTCTTTCACTATCACTAATGGATACTGGACACTCCCTGAAGAACAAAGAAGATAGTTCAAGCAAAACTGTAACTTCCTGCCTCATGAATAGAGAGGGAATCAACAATAGCTCCTGAAAAAAAAAACAATGTAAGGCAGCGCAATTGCTATTTTGAACACCAAAGTTAGGATGCAGCTGGCCACTCTACTCAGACTAGTCTCCTCTCCATCCCACTGAGTTTCATACCACAAGGAAAAGGACTATGACCTGAATGTCACCTCACTCTTTGTTTCAGTTGTTTTGAGTGGTAGAGGGAGAAGAGACAAGTCTCCTTTAAAGTTCTAGTTCCAGCCATGGAGCTTTCAGTTGCATCCAACTCAGATCCAGCGTTTTTCATCTCAAGACATGCAAAACACAACACCTTCTCCTAGATCCATAATGAAGGTAGTCTAATCAACAACACAGGTATACTCCGCTTTCTGCCATTTCTAGGTCTGTTGTTTCGGAGTTCCTTGCCCTGCTAACCATTAACCTTCACACAGATGAAGTAGACAAGCTCAAAGGACAGCGAAACAAGTTTTCCTTAAAAATTACTGTAATAAATGGGAGAGTATGAACATTGAAGATATACACACAATTCAAACATCTGTGGCATGAAGGACAGGTGTAAATGGGATCATCCGGATCATCAACTGGAGGAGATGCTGCCTTTTCCAAGGCTGATTTTTTAGAATGGTTCATACCTCATACAAAACTGTAGTATTTCCATGAAGGAGAGGTCCATAGCAAATATAGGAATGACCAACAACCCAGCCTAAATCAGAAGCTGCCCACCACACCTAAAATGAAATAAAAACATAATTGGAGTGAGAAGTTTTAAGAGTCGTTAAAAAACATTTACGTGACATTTAAATGGAATTACCTCACCAGGTTGGAGTCCGTATACAGCTGACATTGTCCAGTTTAGCATAACTGCATAGCCACCTGTTGGTCTGACAACACCCTAAATAAGAAAATTTGAGTATTTAAGGTCATTTGAAGGAAAAAAATTATATTCCTGTCTTCAATTACATGTTGAGGTTTTAGCAGCAATAGACTTAAGGTTGACTAATTCCAATACTCCTAATTTAAGAAAAGGATCTATTTCAACCAGAACATGCGTGTACTAGCACTTCCACTAAAGAAGTAATTTTGGAAAACAAACAAAAATACAATAAAACAAACAAAACCACAACCCAATGCCTAGATGACAATAGTTTTCAGAGACAAATCTAGAATTCTCTCATAAAAACTGGATATACAAATATTTAGTCAACATGTGCTGACAAAAAATAAGACATTGAGTATTTATCTCACACTGTGCCATCTAAATGTTAGCCATGTTTTAAATTCATTGCCTAGTCTCTCTGTATCATCACTGGGTAAGAGGAACACCTGTGAAGTAGACAATCCCTAAGAGAACTTGGACGAATTACTCCCTGAAATGTATCTGTCTTTCTGCACTAACTCTTTTTAAAGATGTCAGAAACTTGGCTTAAAGAAATGTATATTTTCGAAAGTTTATATCTGGCCTGAAGTGCACATAAAAGTGCAAAATGAAGAGCATATCAGTGTTCGCCTAAAGGAGGGAAATTTAGAATGAGAGAGTATCAATTACATCATGCATCTTGGTAAACCAATAACTAGCTCTGGAACACTATTGATAGGAACATTTTGGAAATATTTTGCAATATTAGTAATACACATTTCATATATTTCACCTTCTAGTACACCGTTCCTAGAGGAAAGAATTAATTAAACTATATCCTGGTGTCCTGAACTAAAATTCAGATGAACTAAAATTCAAACATCCTCTGTGCAGACATTACAATGTAGCAATCTGTCCATGCTAGGCATGGTACATTTACTTGATGTACTTCATAGAATGAAAGAGGGACTTTCAGGCCTCATCCAAGAAATGAGGGACTGTAAAGATACATTAACTCATTAAAATGGAGATTGCTAAGGGAGAGAATGGTTAACTAACATTTCACCATTTTTAAATAGCAGATTGCCTTTGTTAGACTCAGATTCTAACTTAGTTCCTGCTCTGAGATTAATAAGAGTTTTGCTATGAAGCTCAAAACTGAGTAATTTTAGTTGCATAAGCACTTAAGTTCCTTAAACAAATAAAAAAGTTATTTTATTCACTGAGTTACTTATTATAGCTTAGTGCTAGATGAGAATCTCCCTCTTATAAGGGTGATTCACTCAAGATGTCTACATTTTTCTCTGCAGAGCCAAGAGAGTGAAGTAAACTTCTGAGAACTTTTCTCTCTGAGACGATGTATTGAAACTCATAGTCAAGGAAAATTCCTGTAGTAACAAAGGATTTTATCTTGGCCTTTTTGACAATAAAATAAGTCAAGATAAATGTGTTGCTTTAAAGGGCCCATCTTGAAGGTAAAAGCAGAAGACAATTTTCTCAGCAAAACTGAAACTTGTTTTCCCTTACATCCTCATAGATTCTGAACTTTATAGGCAAAATCATTAAACAATTTTCTAGTAGTAGTCTAAGCACTGTCATATCTAAGGATATATGCTACTGTCTGAATCTGTGGTTGTAAGACTAGCACTAGAAAATTATATTCAGCTTGCCTTCCACACTCTGTAAAAGAGCATTATAAATACCAAGCAAACACTGAGGCAGTTCTCTTTTAAAATACAATCCTTTAAAACTAGGTCATTAAAACTAATTTACATTCAAAAGCAAACATTTTCAAAGAATACCCTAAGCTAATTTTCACTTACTCAATCTAAACATTTATTTTCAGGGGAATTATGTCCTCGGAATTGTTCACTAACACAAGTTTTCAGAACGTGCTTAATCCCATTTAATCTGTAACATCATTCACCATGTCTTATCTACAGGAAAATTAGCTAATACATAAATAACGAACAAGACTAGCCAGCAATAAATACTATCACACAAGTGATATATTAACAAATCTTGCCATTAAGTCACTATACTACGCTTATCTAAAACAGTTAAAACACAGAAGATAGTCCTGGATAAAAGACATTCTGCTGTCCTCAAAAGTTTATATTGTACAAACATTTTGAAGAAAATGCATCTTATCTCTATATTACTACTATTTAAATAAACAAACATGATTTATTGCTACACATTGCCAGTAGTGAAATGTGAATTAGTAAGATTAAACCATTCCTAGGAATGCTTATCATTTATAGCACTGTGCTCTGGCAAACATTTTCAACCTTCTAAATTAAATATTTTCCCAAGTGGAACTGCAAATAGATTGGTCACAGACATATAGACTACAGACAGCTCTTTACCTTGGGCAAGCCTGTTGTTCCAGATGTATACAGAATATAAAGTGGATGGTCTGAGGGAACTGAGACACATTTAGAACACTGTGCTTTTGAAAGCTCTTCTTCCCAGTCAAGATCGCGACCTCGGGTAAGAGGAACGTGCCCCTGCCCATTGCAAAATAAGAAAATTGTCAAAAGAAAACCAGACAGAATAAATAGAATTTGGTCAAAAAACATTCACTATTCAAATTTTCTATACACTACTATTCAATTTTCTGTATAGTAATCTCTCTGATGCATTAGTTCTATTTACTATTTCAATCTTTCGAATAAAACGTCTGCCCTTAAAATTAAAACACAAACTACAATAGATACAGTAAAATTTTACCTGTAAAAAAGAAAAGGCACATGCACTACATAAATGTCTGAAAGTTAACACAAAGGCATAACAAGTGTACACCCACCAAATTAGGTCGCTTGTAAATGAGAACTTTATCAGGTTTGCTCTGTACCCTTGCCAGTGCTCCTTCTAGGAGAGATATGTATTCCACTTTTCTTTTTGGTTCTACTCCAAAACTAGCTGTTACAATAAATTTGGGCTAAAAAAAAAAAAAAAAAGGTAGATTGTTAATATATACAGATAAGTAACAAAAAACCATGTTTTCTATTAAATTATTTGATTAATTATGTTCAATATACAAAATTTATCACATAATTAGAAACAGGGGTTTAGATCAGTTTTCGAAAGGAGATCAAGCTTGTGTGATCTTGCTGTCCTTTCCTGTGCTTTCTGCTCAGAAGCACACTAATAATTTCAGACATTCTTCACTATCTTCAAGCCAATTTGACTAAGAAATCAACAGTATTAACTTCTAAATTGCACAAATATTAATGAACACAGAGAGAAAAACCCAGGTCCATCTTAGCTCCTCCATTAAGGAAGAGTGGTACAGTAATGTCAACAATTATCGGTCCCGTTTAGCCTGCTTTCTATTGCACCCAATTGCATATTCCAAAACTAGCTACAGCACTTCACTGGCTCTTTCCCAGCCTGCAAATAAATGGCACAGGAGGAAAAACGGGAGAAAGAGGGAAAAGAAGGCAAAAAAGAGATGGAAGGAAACTAGAAACAGAGGAAGAGAATAAGCTAAAATCTTATGGCACATGAGGGAAGTAAAGCTAAAGTCTTTCAAGTGATGATTGCAGGACAGAGGATGCAACACCAGTAAAAATCAGATTTCTGTAATTCTGAGGATTTTTTAGAATAATCTCTATTACCAGATGAGGACTTCACAACTTTGTCATTAATTTAACTTCAGATTTTACATAAGATTTCCTAAGTCAAGAAATATGCATACAGGCTACTTTGACTTAGGTCCCAGGATCACTATTTTTATTTCTTGTTTTTCGAGAAAGAAAAGGTACCACCAAAGAAACTATGCGTTAGAATACATTTTAATTGGAAAAGAATGAGTCTGCAATCTCCTTCTTCCTGGAGTTTTAGAAGGGTATTTATCTTATGCCCCTCAGTTTGATCAAGCTAGTTTACTAATTGTATGCATTAGCATAAATCTCATTAAGTAGGCACAAACCACAATGCCACAGTTAAGGCTGTATTAAATACAGCAGAGAAAACACAGATTTAATTGTTTTCTTTTGCAATAATAAAACGCTTCCTGTCCAAATCTGCCATTCAGGGAAGCTCCCTAATTGGTGTGTATTCAAAGAAAGATTTCAAATGAGCTTTAAAATTTCAGCATTTGTTAACTTTCTCTTTTGGGATGCAGTGATTTAATAAAAGTTGATACAATACAATGCAGCTAAACTGAAAATTCATCTGGAGGCTGAAATTAAGAGTGTAATAAATGTAAGATACACAATTCTATTAAATTGTTAAGGTGAAAGACTGCTGTTATCACTAATTGTACAGTCATTTGTAAATGATGCCACCTTTGCTCATCAACTCCTTTGTATGCAGTAAGGATATCTAAAAATAACCAATACTAAATTGGCTAAGGTGATGTATTACCCAAGTGAAGAGGCATCATGGATCGCTATGCAAATTAAAGGCTCACTACTGGTTTTAACTCTCTGTCTACCGACATTATTTCCCCTGCACCTCAACTCCCATATTGCTATTATACACCCATTTCCTACCTCTTCTGTGGCTCCATGTAGTCCTGCATGGTAAGATTAGACAGAAATATAACTAGTTTGAAGGAAAACCAGGAGAGTTCAAGGGTCTGCTAGAGAAGAAATGCCAGAGATAGTGAGCTATAGAAAAAAAAACCATTATGAAACAAAAATGAAATAAAGCAAGGCCCAATCGTACAAGTTGTTGATACAAGACCAACACTTTTATTCTGTTGTAAAGACTGTTCCTACAAATTCGTCTATAGTCTCAAATACCATACAAGGCACAGTTTAGTAAAAGCAATAAAGGTTGGCATTCCTGAAGGATGGGATGCCACCAGGGGGACAAGTACAAGCTCAAGGAGTGGGCCCATGACAATCTAATGAGTTCAACGAGGCCAAGTGCAAGGTCCTGCACCTGCGTCAGGGCAATCTCTGCAAGATCAATGCATCCTGAGGGATGAAGGGATCAAGAGCAGCCCTATTGAGAAGGACTTGGTGATGAAAAGCTGGACATAAACTGATACTGGGTGCTCACAGTCCAGAAAGCCAATTTTACACTGGGCTGCATCACAAGCAGTGTGGCCATTAGGTCAAGGGAAGGGATTCTGCCCTCCACTCTGCTCTGGTGAGACCCCATTTGGAGTACTACATCCAGCTCTGAGGTCCTCAGCACAGGAAAGACATTGACCTGTTTAAGTAGGTCCAGAGGACAGCCATGAAGGTGATCAGAGGGGCAGAGCCCCTCGATGCTATGAGGAAAGCTGAGAGTTGGAGTTGTTCAGCTTGGAGAAGAGAAGGCTCTGGGGTAACCTCATTGTGGCATTTTAGTACCTAAAGGGAGCTTATAAGAAAGATGGAGATAAACTCTCTAGCAGGGCCTGTTGCAATGGGACCAGGGGTAATGGTTTAGACTGAGAGGCTAGATTTATATAAGATTGAAGGAAGGAACTTTTTACAATGAGGATGGTGAAGCACTGGCACAAGTTACCCATAGATGGGGTAGATGTCCCAGCCCTGGAAACATTCAAGGTAAGGTTTGTCAGGGGTCTGAACAACCTGATCCAGTGCACAGGAGTTGGACTAGATGACTTTTAAAGGTCTCTTTCAACCCAAACTGTTCTCTGATTCTATGAACCTACCTATTGTTTTGATATTGCAAACTATATATTCCCAGATTCAGGTGAAAGATGACAAAAAATCCTGTTCTTATGATCTGTATCACTTCATCAAAATTCAGTGCAGAATACCTGTAACTGGCAATACCTGACGTGAGTAGAAATTACCAGCTGCAGGACTTTGCAGCATTCCCAGACCTATTTTAAATTCAAGATAAATTAAGGTAAGATGGTAACGTGTATGTACCTTCTCATAGTCACTAGAAAGTGCTTGTTATTTCTTTCACTCAGGTCTTCTAAGAGAAAGCGAAATGTGACAAAATGTGACAAAAGTATCTTACAGACAGATTTCCATTGTACATCCTTAACTCTTTCTACTTAATCTCACCAACATCAAGTCCTATATTGCAGCATCTAAACCAATTCATATAAAAGCCTAATAAAAAGGTTAGGTTATTTTGAGACTAATTAACTTCTGAGCTCAGAAGAATATCATCTATCACAGGTACTTTTATACAAATCTTAAATATAACGTCAGTAGTGTGCAATTCACTTATGATGAAAGTTTTACCATGTTGCAAAACTGGAACATGTTTTGAAATTTAGAATGAGGATATGCCTTTCCTCTTTACTCACATTTTCATTATGCATCAGATGGACCAAAAATCATCCATAATACTTAAATCTGCCTTTAAAGAAACCAAAAAGCAATGTAAATTAGGATTTAATCCATGGCCTGCAGCTAGTAATTCTATAGCTAACCCTTCAAAAGAGTTGCTATGTGACCTCGAGTAAAACATTTACACTTTCTCTGTTTTCATTTTAATACATGAAGCAAGGATTATGATTACGGTGCTGTCTCCCTCTGTTCCTCAGAAAGAAAGCATTGGGATTAATTAGCTAATAATTGCAAAATACTCTGAGTAAACATGCTAGATGGTTTGTATCATAGCAACCTCCATTTTTAAAGTTTATCATTTTTCTTCTACATTATTTTTCCCTAATTCTATGAGTTAACATTACTTTTTATAGCTTGTTAAAAAAGTGGGGAAGTGGGAAGAAAGACAGGGAAAACTAGAGAGTTGTTGTTAGCCTTTTTTCACCGTTCCATCAAGCCATTTTAGCCATTTTATTAACTTTTTTAAGGGGCGGAAGAGAAATGCATTCAACTTTCTATTTACAGATATTTACAAAATTTAAACTTTGGTCATCTGAAAAGCACTTCTGTACACAGAAATCTAAGTCCACAAATCCTGTGGACTTTACCCTGCACAATGTTCTGTCTAAGCAACACAATTCAGTGACAGATGGCTACCACAGACAGTCTGAATGATCCAGGTGACCGATCAAGATAACAAGGACTTTGTCTTATTCAGTAGCAGAACACAAGATCAGACCATTCCAGTTGAAACTAATGCATACATAAGCTACTAAGTAGATTAGTGAAATACTATTTGCATTTTCACTAACACAGACTTACATAATGCTCTATAAACAAGCTCAACTTGTGCCAAACACAGAAGTCTTAAAGCATTGAGCTCCACTAATTATGTTCTGTGCAGTCATTTATTTAAGGTAACTGGTTCCATAGCTGCCCAGATTCATGTAGAAATTAAATGAAGTAGAATTACAGCTTCTCCTGGTTCCAGCCATGACAGGGTTAATTTTTGTAGTAACCAAGAGAGGCATGGCCAGAACTCTGAGGTCATTCTATACCAATTCATGCCATACACAGGGTGGGGAGGGGGATGGGTTTCTTCCCAGTCAGTGGCAGAGGGGGCAGGTCAGCAGTGCGGGTTCCGCGTGGTAAAAACTCGCCTGTGAATCATTTGCCTCCCTTGTACACTCTGTTATTATTATCCTTGCTGTTACTGTTTGTAACTGCTGGAAACTACTGTTTCCAGTAAATCATTCTTACGGTATCTCAACCTGTGATCTTTACCTTTTGGGCCTCCAATTCTCCTCTCCATCCCATCACAGAGGGAGGGGAAGGGAAAGGAGGAGTGAGCTAGCAGTGCATGGTTTGAAGAGTTTCAGCAGGAACACCGACTTGGGGAATATCATTCCTAAATCACACAGCTGAAAAAAAAATGTAATACCTAGCATGTCTAAACATCAAATAAACCAATGAAATTATTTAGGGTTGGCAGCATTTTTCTCACACACTTGGTGAAAATGCTGGACGAAAAGCCAGTATTAAGGTAATGCTTTGTAGAAAAAGACTGACCAACAGGAGAAGAAAGTACGCTCTATACAGACAGTGTTTTAAACTCGCTGCTCAGCCTTAGCCAAAACACCACTGTGTTGTCAACACCCTTCTGGCTACCAATGCAAAGCACAGCACTGTGAGGGCCGCTGTGGGGAAATGAACTCCAGCTCAAGCAGACCCAATACCATACGTTATTACCTTTGCATGATCAATGCGAACAGAAAGCTCTTTAGATGCAAATCCACCAAAAATCAGGCTATGGATGGCTCCTATTCTTGCACAAGCCAGCATACAGTACACGGTCTGTGGAATCATTGGCATGTAGATGACCACACGATCTCCTTTCTTCACACCATGTCTGATCATGACATCAGCTAACTTGGAGACCTGTAATGATGAAACATTCACAACATAATAAAACTTTCTCCAGATCTGCTGGTGCCCCATATGTAAACAACTTTTACACAGTCAACAGATGCAGGACATTAAGGAGACGGTATGATATGGAAAGCTGATGAATGATGTAATCGAGGTTCAATAAATTTAAGACAATTTCATTTTTGCAAAAAAAACACTGTAATACATTTTTCTTCCATAAAAATGCAATGAGGCTAATTATTGTACTTATTATAGTAAAAAACAAAATCAATAGTAATGTTTTGCAAATTTTTAAATTACACTCTAAACACTCATTCTTTTATCCAGGTAACATTTTATATTTCTCCACTTCAGCTATAAAGAATTAATTTAAGCAGGGCATTTCATAATGCAAATTCTGTCCTAACTAGCAAAGTTTGAAACACAAATCAATATGTAGTAATATTTTCTCTACTACAGCATTGGAAACTTCTCATAATCTGAGACAAGAAATCTTACAACCTGAACTAATAGTAAATACAAATTCAGAGAAACGTGTTTAGATTTAAGAGTGCACCTGTTCCCACCCACTTGTTGTGGCATGGAAATGTGGCATCTTCTGAAGGAAAAGCAAATTACTAAATCCTCAAGAGCAACTGAATGAATTCACCTATCAGAGATTTTCTTGAGTTCCAGGGGCTGACAGCTGTGTAATACTCAGTACCTAAACCTGCTCACTGCCTTTCAATTCTTCAGTTAGATGTATATAAGCAATAGGGTAAACCTCCATGTTACTGTGCACAACGCGCAGGCTACCAGGTTAACAGGAAAAACTGCAGACTAAAAAGAAACCAAGTAGACTTAATAAACTTATTGGGAACAGAATGAAAGGAGAAACTCCCCAGGAAGCTGTGAGCTGGAATACTCTGTAAACATGGTTACATATCAGTAAAAAGAACATGAGTTTTGCCTGTGTTAGTTTTACATTAACGATAAGAAATTCTCTAGGACGTTCTTGGACTACGTGAAGACAAATCTAAGTTCAGAACAAAGGAGTTGCTCTGTCTTTTATAGGGGAACTCTTCTTACCCACTGCAGTAAAACTATTCTTTAAGAGCTTGTCAATTACTAGAAAATACTACAATAAACATAAGTTCAAAGATTCTAATTTCTTTTACGATCATTGTAACATAAATCTACTCATACATAAATTCTTCAAATCTTTCCTGTACTGCGTTATTCCTCATTTATTCACACAGATATGGTTGCAAATAAAATTTTGTCTTGTAAGAGACTCTCTTCTTCAGGTACTATCAGAAAAAAAAAAGGAAAAAGGAGATAAACTCCTGAGAGCAACAGTGGGATGTTGCTTGTCAAATAAAAAACACCCAAGGTTCTGAAGCAGTAAGAATGTTTTCAGTGACCCAGCAAATAATGCAAGCAATGGGGGCGGCCTAAGCAAATAATACACGTGCAACCAGGACAGAAGGGAAGGAACCTCTTTTTCAAGGATAAGCAAGATTTTCTTTGAAATTACTGTCATTTATATTATTTAAAAATTTGAGTTTTCTCTATTTAAAGAGTAGCTACATACAGTGGTAGAACCCTGTCTGATACAGACACTGAAGAGGACAATATGGCATTGCTCACTGCTTCTGTCTTCTGTGGAAACCTATACTCAGACTTTCAGTAACATGGGACAGTAACATCCAGAAGCTCCAGATGCATCTGCTCTCTTGTTGCACTGTCACAACACATCCACAATCAAACTACGCATATTTCTACACTTCTGCCTGAGTATTTAAGAAAATGGAAGAACAGAAGCCTCAAGCATGCACTCTTGCATCAGAAGATAACTGCATAAGTTCCATTTTCCATAAACACTGCAAAAATCCCTGCTTTTATTTTCAACCACAAGAGAAAGTTCATAAGGCAGTCATCACCACACCAAGCTGAAAACTCATACAAACTAAAGTATCTATATGATTTATATGTAACAGATCTCTTATATGAAATACCACTGATGTTCAAGAGATAATGCCTTTAATGCTAAACTTATTAATACCTATCAATACTTAATGAAACTGACAGATACTACCAAAACCCCAAAAAAACCCAAAGACCGGACATGTACACAGCTATAATTTATTGCCATAACTCCAGCATTTACAGTCATTTCTAGCTAGAATTGGTGAAAGTAACTGTAAGTAAAGATAACAACTCTACTTCCAAAGGTAAATTAGTTTTCTATACCTCCTACTGCAAAAAAATTAAAATCTGCAAACTTATTATAACATAGAGCTAACATCACCGTCTCAAAAAGAAACAAGAAAACGAATCATTATCTTTCCTGCTTGTGAGATTCTCAAGAAGAGTGTTGACAGAGGCCAGAGGCAATGAAAACAGTATCAAAGGAGTATTTTTATAGTTACTGTAAGTGTGGGTAGTGAACAATAAAAAGTTAAACACAATAGAAAAATATTTTTATTATTGATTATATTTATTTTATAAATAATTATTAATGATTATTAAAAAGGCAATGTTTGCCTGCTAAAGGAAAAAGCATAATTTAAACGTCATAATTCATAATTTTGTAATAGAAGACTCTCAATGCCTGTATACAAGTTAAATGATTTTGGTTCTTGGCTGTAGGAGGGAGACAGTGAAGAGATCTACATGTACTGCAATCATTTTTATTGAAAACTAACAGAGGTAAATTGTGTTTAAAGCCAAACACATGCAGCATGCTGTCGACAAGAACCACGTGTCAACTTTGCAAATCCCGTAAGCACATGTCTGCATTTAACCTCCCCACCCTAGAGAGTTTAATGTCACTGAAGACAATAATCCAATACAATATGCTATGATTTTCCTTGTGCCCTTTCCCTCATCCTTCTGACAGCCAGGGAACATTTGGACAATATAATAAAACAGTGTCTCTATCTGCAACTACTTGGAAGACAAGAGAATACCGGAAAGCAGATTTACACTGCCCCACAGATTGACGTGGTAGTCCTGAAACATTCAAGCAATCACTTTCTAAATAGAAGGGGAATGGGGAATAGTGAGTACTGACATTTCATTAAGTTGTTAAAAGCCATAAAATCTTCTACTTTCTTATGATGTTTTGCCATTTATGGTTTATATTACGACAGTGTAGTGTACTTTATCACTCAAAAACTAACATACTATTTCTCCACTTTTCTTCATTTTAAGGTTGCTCTATCACTTCAATATATTTGGCACTTCAGTAATAAAATCACTTGAGACCAAGTGATATAATATGAAACTCAAGTAAGCTTTCAGCTTTGCAGATTGGGGCATAAATTACACTTCTTTCAAATGCAAGTCCCTAGTGGGCATGGTTTTATTTTTACACAGCCACCAAACAAATACTACAGCTGTATTAGCAGCTCAGGTTTGTAAGTGATGCAGTTCTGAAATAAATCCCTAGTAGTTATAAAAAACAGTTTTGGTCCATGCCAAAAGAATTCCTCTTAGAAGATACTAAACCAGAAATCCCACTCAAAATGCTCAAAAGAGGAATTTCAAACCTTCCTGGCTTGAACAACGACTGGGCCTCACAAGTGTGGAATCCTTCAATGCAAGCTAAACAAAAAAGGACTGTTCAAAAAACGAGAGCTCCTGAAATATTCTGAACTGCATGTCATGGGGTGAAAAGAGCCATGTCACATTAGCATTTTCTAAGCCAGAGGCAGAGTCACCTTATGCTCTTCAGCTGATCCACCATACTCTTTTTCCAAGACTACTAAAGCAAGTGGTCCTTCCTACTCCCCTCACTCCTTCGTCAGTCTCTTCACTCTTCTAATTATCTTCTTAATTATTGCTTCCTCCTTCTCCTACTACTGTAAAAGCTTCTCCAGCAGATGCACCACCCTGTTACTAATATCAAGCTTGCTGCACAGTGGGAGAGAATTGAAAAGTACTTCTGCATTCATTTCAATTAGATGAAGACCATGTTCTTGATGAGGTGGCAAAACCATGTTTCAGAGGTTGGTGAAACCATGGTTTCAGGTGGTATGTGTGCTGCCAGCATGGATATCTTGAACAGACCTTCAGGGGAGGAAAAACCACTTCACTAATCCCACAGACACCCACATCCTTGGTCTCAGGATCAGCAGGCCTGGGACACAGTCTAGGGAAAAGCATGGCAATGGTGCTGCATGCATCTACATGCCTACAACCCCCAGAGTACCTCCACAAAATAACACGCAGGAACATCCCCTCTGTCATGATCCTCAATAGGCCATGGTCCAGATGCCCACAGGAGTGAGTGTTCATATTCCTTTCCTGTACATGTATTGAGCGAAGGACTGTGCTTATGAGGTTTCTGATGGAATTAGAGCACTGGTTGCAGACCTGTGGGAAGGCAGCATGAGTCTCTGGATTGCCTTTGAGAGCTGCTATGCACTGAGAAATGATTTCTGGGGGGTTGTGAGGGAAGTTCTGTGAAGCAACAAGCTCTATCAGAGACCACCTGCCCCATCCCAGCTCTGCCTGGGTACCAGGCACAGTCCTGGAAACCACATAATCCATGGACATGGCATGCCTTGATCACACAGCCCTCCTCAGCTTCTGCACAAAAGCCCAGCCACAGTCTCAAAGGCAGTATATAAAGAACCTGCAGTGGTAACGATGCAGGTACACTCCTACTAAGGATATTCAGCATTAAGTGAGTCTAATACACTTTTATCATGATACTGTTGGTTTACTAGCAAAGAAGATAAAAATTTGGGTTGTCAGTCTCAGTAGGACTTTTTTTACTGTATTCTAGTTTTGATTCTAAGTCAACTCTGAGAAAAATTACCCTGAAATCCCTATTTCTAGCTAAAAAGGAATTAGTCATTTTTCAAGGCAAAAGGAAAAGAAAGAAGATGGAGTTAAAAAAAAGAAGTAAGAAAGATTACAAAAAACAAAATGATCTGCGTGATTCCTCAGCCATATAGCGGATATGAGATATGAGCAGCAAAAGACATGTCAATTCACATAAATTCAAACCAACGTAGGTTAATATAGTTATTTTGGAAGAAGATACTTTTAGGGTGCATAATTACAGAAAAAAAAACACCTTCCTGCAAAAGAAATTACATCTTAGCCCATTTCTGATAACCTTAAGCCCTTCTTTCTCATCCAAGCTTCTGTAACATTCAATGCTCTCAGAGGCTTGGGCAGGGGAGGGTTGTTATTACTAATCCTGTCACATTACTGCACTTAGAAATTATTTATTATGGCACTGAATTCAATATGTTAACTGTGCATTGTTATTAAAAAGAATCACAGAGAGAAATCATACTGGGTTTGTGTACATGATCTGTCAAGCATCAACAGCTGCAAATAATACAACTCTCAAATTCTTGAGATTTCCTTTTAGCAAGTGAGGCATTTTAAAGAATACACCTAATGATTTAAACAGAAGGGATATATCATGTACCTAATAACCTTTGCATTAACTTGAAAATGGTAGTGTATTCCAACACAATCAAAAAATTTCTTTTCAAGTGAACAGAAGCCACTGCCCCCTATTTCCTTCTGGTATCCTTGTATTTCCTTAATACTACACAGATTCAGTAATATTTCTAACAGAATTTCATAGAATCATAGAATATTCTGAGTTGGAAGGGACCCATCACAATAATTAAGTCCAACTCCTAGCCCTGCACAGGACACTCCAAGGATCACACCATGTGCCTGAGAGTGTTGTCCAAACACATGTTGAACTCTGTCAGGCTTGGTGCTGTGACCGCTTCCCTGGGGAGCCTGTTCCAGTGCCCAATCACCTTCTGGGTGAAAAACGTTTTCCTGATATCCAACCTTAACCTCACCTGAGTCAGCTTCATGCCATTTCCTTGGTCACAAGAGTGAAGAGATTGGTATGTGCCCCTCCTCTTTCCCTCACGAGGAAGTTGTAGACTGCAGTGAAGTCTCCCCTCTGTCTCCTCCAGGCTGAACAGACCAAGTGACCTCAGCCACTCCTCATACAGCTTCCCCTCAAGGTGTTTTATCATCTTAATGGTCCTCCTTTGGACACTCTCTAATAGATTAGTATCTTTCTTATATCTGCAGTGCCCAAAACTGCACACAATATTCAAGGTGAGGCCGCCCCAGTGCAGAGTAGAGCGGGACAATCCCCTCCCTCACCCAGCTGGCGATGCTTTGCCTGATGTCCCTGAGGACAAGGTTGGCCATCCTGGCTGCCAGGGTACTGCTTACCCATATTAAACTTGCTGTTGACCAGGACCTCCAGGTTCCCTTCTACAACACTGCTTTCCAGTGTCTCATTTCCCAGTCTATACACACAACCAGGATATGGATATGGATAATATGAAAATAATAGGCTGAATACAGAGCCCAAGCTATTTCTAAGGAGCCTTATTAAGTCCAGCTTAGACACCTCTGTCATTTTTTTTCATCCTTATCACGAGTTTGATCCTGGAGCAAATAACCCAACCTGCTACAAAAGTCTGCATCTTTGCATTCTGTGACCCAGTTATCCTACATAACTTCTATTGAAAATATCTATAAATGCCACTTTAATTACCAAAAGCCAAAAAGAATTCCACCACTTCAAGTGATCTCTTGTAACGACATTTTGCAGGCAGCCTTTCTGAAAAGACATTCTCATTACGCTTACTGGCCAGACAAACTACTAAACATTCATTGGATGGGAACAGTCCAAACAATGGTCTGAATACAGATACACACTTTCAGGCTGGTTTAAATTGGGAAAGGAACTCCTGAAAAAAGGTAAAAGGTTTCCTTCCCCATCAGGAGGTTCATAATATTTAGTCATATGTCTGATCTGCACTCATACTGATCCATTTCAGTATGAAGTCTATTTCAAAATGATAAAATACAGTATTTTTAGGTTACATTGAGCAGACTGAGAACACGTTGACAAGCAATGACTGAGGGATGTGAGCCAAACATCAACACCCATACTGTACAGTGGTTTTGGTAGGCCTTTTCTCAAAGTCTCTCCTAGCATCTACAAAATCCACAAAAAAAAAAATACACCAGCCTCCATCCTTCCCATTTTCAGCAGATCTCTGTCACTTTTGTTATGAGGTGTCCAGTAGTTAGCAGGTAAACATAATTAAATTTATTCCACAAGAATCGACCAGAAAGCTTTGGGAGACAAGCTACTAATCTCAAATATTACCTTTCACTCATATTCACTTTTGATTAAGAAAAAAAAACTGTAGAGAATTCAAACAAAGTATTTAGAGGACTCAGCTACCAGCAAGATTATAATGAACTTCTAAGTGAGTACTGCTACATAGCCTCAGAAAACTTAAACCAGTTCTTCCCTTTGGTTTGGCAATGCTGCTGTAAGAAGAAATGTGGATGAAAGGATGTGCATGTCAACATGTAAAATTTTCTCATTCTGCACAAATGTGCCATATCCTAAAACATTTAATACACTTACAGAGAATACAGAGACAGAAACTTAGAAGACTTAATACAATAACAAGCTTAAAAAGCAGAACAAAGGCTACTTTTCAAGTTCCCTTCAGAGGAAATTTCTGCAGAGTTCACTTAAGATAATTGATATTAAAATGTTGTATTACTTCATTAAAAATGAGTACGTATTTTATATGTATATGTATGTATGTATACATTGACTTCATATATACATGTATATTTGGGTATATACTGTATATATATTGTAGTTATTAAAGGCAAATTACACAAAAATTGTATCTATAAAATTATACTTATTATATATAGCTATTAATAGATTTAGATAAGGAGCTGGGCCCTTTTAAAGTCTTCTGTTTTCTTGCAACACTGTGGCTGGTTGTTCAAGCACTGTATGGTGCCTACCAAGTTATTTTTTGGACTTGGTAAATCAAAAGAAAACTGGTAAAGAGTAAATGTTTTCTGTATTTTTCTTAAAAGGTAGAGTGCATAACAGGTTTATCATTGTAGCTGTATGACTTCTCTTTTATTACAACAGTGGAATAAAACCCTCACAACATGAATTACTGTATTATGAACCTCATTTCACATTTTAAACCGTAAGTTCACATTACTCCAGACAATACGTGTATCTGAAGTAAACTGATTGTGTTGCATTCACCGTAATGCTTCTTGCACATTGAAACACATCAAGGATGAATATGAGCCTGACTAGAACATTTCACTGTACTCAGTGTTAAGTTCAACTGTTACCTGTAACTGGAAGGAAGAAGTCAGCTAAAACAGAGGAGCAGCAGGAGGGCAAGCCACCAGCTGACAGCTGTGAGAGTGGAGAACCTTGAATGGGGCAGACTGCAAACACCCATGGTGGCAACAACCTGTGGTCAGGCACAGGGTAAATCTGAATGGGCTGATGCAGAACGAGATATTCACAGCTCAGCCAACAGGGAAATCGAAATCCACAGACATTCCAGGTGGAAGGGCCACCAGCAACCACCAGCATCCCCATGACAGCCTACAATGGGGCAGGTGACACAGCTATTTTTAGAGCTCCCCCCTGTCAAATTTCATTTCTGGTTACACTCACTTATGTACAGCAATAGCCAAGGTACATACACATTTCATTTCTGCAAAACTGTATATTTCTTCATCATAGCAACTGTCAAATAACTTGACTATTCCTTTGCTTTACCTTTCAAATAAGAACTGTTAGGGGAAAAAAAATTAAACCGAGACAAGTTAAAAATTTAACCAACCAGGGAAAAAGAACTATTAAACTGTAGAAGAAAAAGAGGAAATAGAAGAAGATCAAAATGTCTTGGATGCAGTATAATTTGGTACAGGTAGTAAAGCTTATAAATCAGTACTGAGCACAGCAAAAGGAATAAACCAGAGGGGTAGACCATTTTTACCCCTCTGGTACCTACCCGCTGTGCAATATTTACTGCCTATTTCCCACAACAAGGTTATTCCGGAACATACCTGCTCAAGAAGTTCCTTATATGTTATTTTCTCTTTGGTATTTGTTACAGGACTGTCAAAAATAATGGCAACTTGGTCTCCTCGGCCATTCTCAACATGACGATCTACAGCATTGTAACAGATGTTCAGCTCTCCACCTACAAACCTAAAAAAGAAGTTGGAAGTATGTAACAGCCAGTCTTCCAAACTAAGACAACTAAAACTTTTTGTATTTTAAGGTTTTTTTTTTTTTAGGAATGAGAGTACTCAATTAAAATATAACTCTTAAAATATTATAATCACTTCAGGAAGTAATTTTTTATTCTATAACCTCAAGATTTACTCAAAAAGCCAAAAAGGACTATTAGTGAAAAGATAGAACTTAAAGTACTGTACCTTAATTGACTTAATTAAAAATCTGCTAAGCTTGATCTTGGTTTAGTGTACTTTGTATCAATCACTCTGATTTTTACATCTACGGTCTCACAGGAAAAGCATAAATTCACATAAAATAATCCGACATTATGAAAACATTATTATGCTACTTTGCATTGGCACACACACATATTCTTTTTAGGGAAAACAGGTTCAGGACTCAAAATAGTCTTATTCATCTCTTGGCAATAACAGTTAGGCATACAAGCATCTGTCTGTAGCTAAGTGAAAGTGACCCCAACAGTAATAAGATCATATAATTATAATGCATTTGACAACACTGTTTTACATCATTGACTCAAAATTCTCTGTAAAGCAATGTGAGTCATAGCCTCTTCAATAGCCAGACATTCATCTTCCAATTAAAGAAAAATATTTCACAAATTCAGATTTCATTTTTATTGTCATTTTACATAGGAAAAGAAAATCCAAGTGCAGCATAATCCTCAAATACAAACATAAAGACTGCACTGGATACAAAGATGACTCTACTAACTGAAAGATGACAAAAAAATCTAAAAATTAAAGTTGACTAAATGATGCCCAGTGTTTGTTTTTCTATCTGTAGGTCTCTCTCTGCAGCATAAATAATAACATACAGAAAATACATAGTTGAGAGTTTCCAAAAGGTTGTACGGAAACACTGTCCAGTGATAATGTATTGTTATAATGCAACTGGAAGTAACAGATGGCCTAAAGTAACCCACTACTAGTTAAAAGTAAATATTTCCTTCTTCATTTTTCCTGTTTAGTAAATGACTGTTCTAAGTTATATATTTTGCATATTATTTTTAAATCCATATGTAGAGATGCCATGGGATAGTCTTCACTGTCAAAAAATGGCAATTATGAAACCAAAACCAGTTAGATAACTCCTTTACAATGCTATTAGTAAGAATGTGGGGGACTGTGGAAGTCACAAAACCATTCTGTACTATAAACCCCTTGCCATAAAAAGAAAACCACGTAAGCGATAAAGGATCTGGCATTGTTTCAGGTAATGTAGAGAAACTCTTTACCACTGTCATAAAAGTTGTGTATGATTCAGGTCATCCACTGATTTTATATCAAATTACTGTAGGATGATATGAACAAGGGAACAAGGGAGCACAATACCTGCATAATCACTAAAGAATGGTCAAAACATGAGCAGGCACCAGAGCCTTGATTCTTCTAAAGATACACGGCAACATCAACATCACCACATGAATTTTTAGCAATCCCTTAAAAAAAAGTGTTTGAAAGAGGTGTGACTGCAGGTTGAATCAAGAACAAGACTATCTGGAAAGTGTGATGAGAACTTTGCTACCCTGTAAAGGAGGATAGAGGTTCTGATGGGATCAGAAAAGCAGAGGTGCACCAACCACAATTGCAAGAACTTGGCTTCCTTAGTGTTATCCAAGGATATCCTCAAAAATACCTCTTTCTGGCTGACAAAAGCTCCTTGGCTTTAAAGAGCTGCCTTGTGCTACTGCAAACTTCTTTTCTAGCAAGTCTCACACAGATGAACACCTGTGAGGAACTCTGATTTGCTTGAATAAGCTTTAGTTGAAAAGAAATAGCAGCCTGAAACCAGGACCATTGTTATAAGGATGTCAATAAGATGCTCTTTTTAAAACAGAGGTCTAGAATGAGAAAGGAAATATTCTAAAAGACTGCAGAAAGACCAGAAGTGGATCTGCAGGACGTGTGTAAGAACTGCCAATAAATCTTGCTATCATAAGCATGACTGTAAATATGCTAATCTATTGCTAACCAAACAATTATCTCAATGCAGCTTACCAACCAAATCCAAGTGTGAGGAACCTTATTGTACACTGTGTTCCTAATGCTGACAATTTCATAACATAAAACAAGTGGAGCAGAGGAAGAGCAAAACAAATAATACTACACAGTAACAATTCTAACAGATTAAAGAAACTATATTCAGTTCACTAGCAGTCTCTGAAACGCTTGTCTACCTCCACTGGTGCTACAGTGGAAAAAATGAAGGGTTGTCCTAGTCAAAAATCACAGAACTTTGGCTATAATATCCAAAATTGGCTATAACATCAAAACAGCTAGCTTCACAGCAACACTTTAAACCATTATTCTGACAATATATACCTATCATTTTGTTGTTTGTTTTTTTTTTCCCCATATATCCATGAAAGTAGCAGCCACATTGTATCTAACTTAGACCTAATAAGGCATCTTCTTAACAATTTGAGTCTGGTTACACACATTACGATCCCCTTGAACCTCTTTAGAGCTGCCTTCAGCAGTCACTTATGCCATACTGCCCTTTTGTGACTGTGGTTCAGCACCTCCCATCTCGCCCCAGCCCTGAGATTTCTCAATCTCAAGCACTGGCACTTGAGCCTTAAATCATACCATAAAAGTACTACTTTATATTAATGTTTAAGGAGTTAAGAGGACACAAAAACACTGATCTTCATGTTTTAGTCTTGGTAAGTCAACTCCTTAGGTCTTCCATAGTGGGACTCCTGTTATATACAGCTTAATATGTACCATCTATGGCTTGGAAGTATTTTTTTACTGCATTTCATATTTTTTGGATGCAACAAAAGCCTACTTGCTATTAATGAAATAAGTACAGTATTGAAGAGGGCAACACATAATTACGACTTAATTAATTTCACTCAAATATTCAAAAGTTATCTTGAAATTTCCAACACCATCTGCTATCTTAAGAATCAAAGCAGCTGTATTCAGAGATAATTTTTACTCTCCATGAAGTAGCTGAGAGTTAAAGCTAATAAAAAATTATAAAAAGGGAAAGAAAGAAAAGGCTTTGAATAAAGATGGCATATAAGCAAAAGAAAAAGCATTAAAATTATTATTAAATATATTTAATATTTTTTTAAAAAAATCTTTTGAAAAAAGCAGATTGCTAAAATTCTTTTACAGGGTATATATACTTCTCTAAGCTGGGTTCCCAGAAATCAAAGGGATTTTTTTTTCTTTTTCTAGATGAAACGAGAATAGAAGGTGAATAAAATGTTAGACAAAACCATGACAATATTAAATAATTGGAGTTAATATGTTAATTGATCCTGTCACATTTTTTAAAGTGTAAGGCAACATTTGAATAGCAATCTGGGCAACCTTCCTGAAGTTCAAAGGGGATTATATATTACACTTATGTCTTAGCATCACAGAAAAAAACATATGTTGTGAAATTGCCCTCTGTCTGCACACGTTAAGAAAAACTGTTTCCACAGTCCTAAAGAAATACTTGCTTTAGCCCTTTTAACTGGGATTCCACAAAATCCCAAAATAATCTGTTCAAGTCTTTCACTAACTTGAGCATTAAAAAGATTTTTCTTTCTAACATCTGAAGACCATGTTTCCCATGTTGCAGTTTAAGACTTCCAGTTTTGACCTCTTCAAAGCCAACTCAAAGAACTTTTTCCTTTAACGTTTTTGCCAAATTCTACGTGTTTTAAAACTTAGGTCTCCCTTTTGGCTTTTAAACCAAACAATTTCAATTCCTTCATTCTTTTCTTGACTAATCATACTTCTTAGCTCTTATTATTTTTGATGTAATCTAAACCAGATGTTGTTTTGTCCTGTATCAGCCACTGATGCAACTTAGAACAGTGAATGGTACGTGGAATTATTGCTTCAAAAAAAGGCAGTCAAGGGATGAAGACACTGCTCAATACTTTTTGGAAATCATTTTGCATCCCATTGATGTAGTACTAGTATTTTCAAGGCAGAGACTGAAGAAGAAACACAAGGGCACGCTGCTTTCATGCTTAGAGTACTTAGAGTGTATTTAGAGAGGATGACTTGCCTTATAGCTACATTTTAAATACAGCAATAAAATACTGCCTCTTTCAGCTTCTTCAACAGAAGTAAATGACACTGGAAAATATATGAAGAGCATGTGTTTCTCTAAGTCTCAGGTTTGGCAACCAAAAACAAAGATATTGAAAAAAAATATTTCCTAGTTGACCTAATACATCTCCAAAACAGGAGACAAATTCTAACTCAAGAAGCACATACATGGACTTAATACTATTTTTGAGGTCTCCATAAACAAGCTTCCAAGGTAAACCTCTGAACCAGCACTCCATCTTTACCCTGTTAAAACAGCAAGCTATGTTTTAGTTTGGAAGCCTGGCCACTTTCTCAGTTGAGCTCCATTCTCTGTTTTCTCTTCAGACTGTCACCTAAAAGACCCTCTTTTATGTTCTCTCTCTCTTATACTCAAAGAACTTACTTATCTGTCATCCTGCTGAGCACACTGAATCCTGGTAACAATCTGGGACTTCAGAGGCATTAAAGTACAACACTAGTATCATATACAGCCTGGTGGCACTTCAGGTGAACTTAAAAACAGAAATAAAACTGCATGTTGCACATTAAGACATTACAGAGGTTTACATAATTTTGAATTGTCTAAAGTTTTATTACCCACAGAGCAACAGATATCTGACGTGCAAACAATTACGACCTGGTGCTGAGTCTCCAGACCTGCATCTTTGTATGATGCTACAGAATCACAGACTGGCTGAAGTTGGAAAGGACCTCTGGAGGGCACCTAGTGAGGCAGGTATGTGGCACTACACCCTTAAGGGGAAGGCAGCATTTAAGATTCATAGATGCTCGTGGTCAAAAAGAATGACAAAAGTCAGAGGGTCTGCAAAAGCTTTTGGAGTTTTATCAGTAAATTGAATACTTTGTATAGAAATTGGCATAAGTTAGTCCCTGATCTCCTAGTATAAGCACATCACAGTGGGTTTTGGACAAAGGGATAGGGCGAAAGGTAAAACATAAAGAGACAGATGCATTAAAGAGGGGGAGAGACTAAGACAAGAAGAAAGATAAAAAAGAGGCCTGGCTCCAGTGTCAACCCAGCTGTTCAGGGTCCTCTGGTGCACATGCACTCAGGCTTTGTGGGGGTACTTTTTTACAGGTAAGTTTCTTGCTTTCTTTAAAAATTAGTTATCATGCATAATCCTTCTTGACCTTTCTGAAAGTGGTTTAGAGGGCTTTGGGGATCTTTGGTGGCCTTGATCCACCCCCCCTCCATAGTCCGTGCTCACTTCTCGACCTGTACTGTGTTTTGCTTAGCTCCAAGAATTAGAACAAGCACATCTGTCCCAGAATAGAGCTGCTCTACCTCTGTATGGCTCCCTTCCCCAACCACATCCTGTTCTTTCTCACAGTGTGTTATTACCAATAACCTTGGATGGCTCCACAGCGATCTGGCTATTGGTATTTGAGACATACACATTGGCCCCTTTATCTTCTAGGCTTCTACAAGGTCCACCTAGAGCCAGTAGACCACGAAGGACTATGTCCAGATGGTATTTTAATATCTCCAAGGAGGGAGATCCCAAAACCAACTCTGTGCCAGTGCTCAGTCACCCTCACATTAAAAAAACTGTTTCCTGGTGTTTAGAGGAAACAACTTGTGCTTCAGTCTGTGTTTATTGCCCATGGTCCGGTCACTGGGCACCACTGAAAAGTGTCTGGCTCCACCTTGCGTGCACCCTCCCTTCAGGTATTTGCCCACATTAACGAGATAATTTCAGTCCGTGGCAATCTGCATCCACAGAGACAGAAAGATACAAGTTAAAAAGTGAAGATACAAAAGACCTTCGAAGATAAGTTAGACTTCAGACCACAAAACATCCGATTTTCCTCTCTCATAAGGCCAAGTAACTTCCATCTGAGAAGTCACAATGCTTTACAAAGAGCTAATCATGTTACTTTCAGCAAGCAAGCTTTTTGTGCTCAGCAAATGAAACCACACTTATTCGACAGAATTTGAGAGCAAAACCATGCTTATTCATGTGTATTATATTCTCACTCCTTAGTTCTTCTAGAGTAACCATTCTATTGATTTCATTATTCTATTCAGGAATGCCAGAATCAGTGAGTTTTACTGGTCTTTAACCAGAGATTCACAGAATCTTTTAGGTTGGAAAAGACCTTTAAGATCATTGACCCCAACCATTAACCCATCACTGCCAGGTCTACCACCACACCAGATGTCCTTAAGTGCCATATCTACACACTTTTTTTTAGATATCTCCAGATTCGGCAATTCCTTCACTTCCTGGGGCAGCCTGTTCCAATGCTGGACAACTTCTTCAGTGAAGACATTTTTCATAACAGACAATATTCCTAATATCCAACATTTCTATTCTAGTATCTTAACTTCCCCTGGAACAACTTGAGGCTACTTCTTCTTGTCCTGTCACTTGTTACTTGGGAGAAGACCCCAACCCATCTGGCTACGACCTCCTTTAAGGCAGTTTTAGAGAGCAGTAAGGTCTCCCCTACTAAACAACCCCAGCCACTCGTCACAGGACTTGTTCTCTAGACCCTTCTCTAGACCCTAATTACACAGGCAATATGACCTGCACTTTCTGAGTAGTGCCATGACATAGAAACCAAAGTCAGTGAACCCTATCCATTCATTTTAGGACTTCTGACTGTTACACAGGTGTTGCCTAAAAATCAGCTTAAGACATATAAACAATTTTCACTACTAGAGGTACCAACCAACAATGTCAGACAGACACCAATAAGAAATCAAGCTCCACTCTACTGATTCTGTATCTTTAAATTTGCACAGATTTGAAAATTAGTATTACTATTAATTATATTTTTAGAATTATTAGTATTTTTTAATTAAAAACAAAACAGAAAAATATAAACAGGGCAAAGAACATCAGTGTACTAATGATCCTCACACTACATTGCCTTTTATATCCAATATCAGTTTCTTTTTGAGAAAAGATCAAAGACCATGATGTAAGCTTGCTGAAAAAAGAAGTAATGGTGGTGAACACAAAATTTTAACAGTAAATTACTTTTGAAAAAGTATTGAAAATCCTATCCAGTAATTTACAAGATAGATATTGTATTCCGTTTAGGGCAGTTCACCATTCACTGCATGGAGATATATCACACAATGCCCATGCTTTTGCCAAACATTACCTTAACCAACATCTAAATTATGGCCTACGACTTGGACAGTATCTAAGATTAAAGAACCCTGAAAGCCATAGTGCCTATGTTTTCATACACTTGCCTCCCCTGCCACCTGATGCTGGGTTTCTCATGGTCACAGCAGACTGTTCCTAGTCCAGGCCCAAATGGATGGGGGAACATCAGGCACACTCCTCCAAATCATTCAGCCACATAAGGACCCACACACGTGTGTCAAGCCTGACAGTGCACGCACCCCTCACCCCAACATATCGATCCATGCTGCTTTTAATCATTAAGCTTGACCAAGTGTAATCAAACTCTGCAGCCATCTCCCCCATCAGTGATGACACACCGCCCATCCCAGACCGGTAGCGGGGTACTTCTGCGGTAGCCACACACCCGCAGCCCCTCGGCAGGTAGCCTTCCCTCCCTCCCTCCCTCCCTCCCTCCCTCCCTCCCCGTTACAGCCGAGCTCTGCCGCCCGGGCCCCCCGCACCTCACCGGGGACAATCGGTTACTCACCAGGAGGCGCTCCCGGCGCTGCCCCTCTCCAGAGTCCGGACCCAGGGCTTGTCCCACTGGATCTTTTCGGCGGCTGCTCCCCAGACTTTCTCGGGCTCCTCCACGGAGTTCCGGAAAACTTTCTCGTACTCGCCCAGCGCCCCTGAGGAGGCGGCGCGGCCGCCGGGCGGCAGGCGGAGGGCAGCGGCGGCGCGGCCCGGGAGCGGGACCACCGCGCAGGGTCGGTCCCGCCGCCACCAGGCCCCGCCGGCCCGGCCCGCCGCCGCAAGTTTTGGCAGCACCGCCAGCCTGCCCAGGAAACCCATTTCACGCGGCATTCAAGGAAGAGGGACCGCACTGCCTTCGCTAAAGCTCCAAAAACCCCTCGGACGGCACAGGACGGAACGACGGCGGCTCCCGGGGGTCGGCGGGGTAGGGCGGGCCTGCCCCCGCGGCGGGCCGGGCCCCACGGCACTGCCCCGCCCGCCCCCAGAGCTGCCCCGCGGTACGAGGGGAGCGGGGCGGCTGGGCCGGATCGGCGGGAGCCACGGCCGGGCCGGGCCGGGCGCCATATCGGGACGTCCGGACCCGACAGCACTTGTCTGCGAGCGAGGGCGGGAGACAAGCCGAAAAAAGACAGATCGACGACACCTGGGATTATTTGTGATTTACAGGTTTGCGTGACGCGTAGCCAGAGTACGCCTCAAATACTTATTTTGAAAGACATTCTTGCTTTGAGAAACCCCCCCATGATAAAATGAAGCATACTGGGAAAAACAAACAAACAAACAAATAAATGTATTATGTTTTCTAGAAGACCTTTATCACCTGTAGTGGATCTTTTGTTTTGTTCATTTTGGCATATGTTCAGAAACCCTTCCTGAGTTTCGGTGGTAATGTTTCAGAATCTTACAAAGCACAAGTCAGCTAAGACATACACCATCTCCGAATGTTATTTTGTCCTTTATGGAATTATTTTAGTGCTTTAATAGGTCTATCCATTACAGATCTCTCAGGAAATTCTTCCTGCAATCACATTATAAAAATGTCATATGGCAAAGAGGAACTCTCTGATGTATTTTAAATTCATGATTAACTTAGGCATCTGTTTCCTGCTTGTTGTTGTATTAGTGCAATAGGAACATAACAATGTATCACATTACAGGTAAAAGAATAAGAGGATGGGGAGAACTATGCTGTTTCCCGACTACAGTAGGTTTAATACATGAAATCAGTTTATTATCCTGGTGCAAAATACCTGAGGTATTGTGGAGAATTTGGCCTACAGTTCATCACAACTTTTAGGTCGTCTTCAAAATCCCTTGTAGTCTTTCGGCATTAAGGCTGGTTGCTGCTTCTGTTTCCAAGGACCATATAATTAGCTCACAAAGGGTTTCCCATAGCTTGTAGAGACTATTGCATTGCTCAGTGCTGTATGAACTATTTGTGCTGTGCTGCACTGAAGTTCACCTCACTCTCCACCCCATCAGTGTCTCAATAACATACAGCCCTGAGTAGCATAGTGGGATTTCCAAAAACATTCAAGTTAAGAATCAGATACTTGCTTCTAAAAACCAAGTTAATACCCTCAAAACCTAACACATCTGAAGGACTAAGTGGACATATTATGAGAAGTTCCCTGCTGCAAGCTAAAGGCTACAGCATGCCAACAAAGCAAGAAAACAAAAAATACATTTCTTAAAAAAAAAAAAAAGAGAGAGAGAGAGAAATCAGTAAAACCCAAACTTGTTCTCAAATATAATAATTTTATGATTACTTTTAAGAACACTGCTTTTGCCCACACTTTCATCACTTTGACATGGCTTCTGTTGTCAAGAGAGTCTGCTAGTCAAAGTTTTAAAATAAATAAAGAATTATAAAGAGAAGTTTGGAGAGACTGTGAACACTGTGACACCATGACAGCCCTGATGCACTGCTGGATGCTCAGTAGTATTGAATACATTGTACAAACATCCGTGAAGAACCCAAATTCTCAGTCAGGTCACACATAGGTGATCTCAGTATTTAAAAAATAGTCCTCGAACTGTATTTTGTATTTTCTACCTTTATGATGGCTAGGCTAATTTTGACTTAAAAGAACAAACCTAACTGAAAATTGTTATGGAATCACAATTAACTTTTTTGTGTGTGCCTGCTCAGAAATGATCACACACGGCTTTAGACTAGTGTTCACAATCCGAGTATGTGGCTGAATGTATTGCAATGACTTTCTACCTGAGGCATGCAACTGCCAGACTTAATAAGAGGTATCAGTTGCCTCAGCCCCATTTGTGAAGCCCACTCCCCCAAATCAAATCGTTAGAGGCAGAATTATGTCCACTCCCGAGGAGTAACCCTTCCTACTAATTGCCTTACAAGCTACCTTCCTTGGATCAGCAACACTTTGCTGCCCATCTAATTAGGAAGGGACCCATAATAATTGCATAGAGCCAGCCTCTGGGTGGTGATAGCAGTCTGTTTCCGAGCTGAAACAATATTGCCAAGTGAGCTAAAATATTTAAGTATGTGTATTCTGTAACACTCTAGCTATAGACATTATCCTGAGATTTAAATATCTAATGGGTTGTGTCTGATGATGCCTAGTATTTCTTGTGGTGTTGAAGAGCATGCTAGCCATTTTTCCACTCTGTCCAAAGTATGTTTAATGTGAAGGGATAAGCATTCGGCAAAGGAATTTGCACTGCAACAGTAAATGCTCTGGTATTCATTTTGAATATAGTCCTACTAGAACTCATACACGAGAGGTGTAGGGGACACCAATGAACTTAATCAGAACAACAAGTGCATTAAATTCTTATTTTAGCTAACATCCTATTATCTGTTTTCTGAATGAATGTTTCTCATGAGTATCTGTGGAACATACTTTCTTAACTAAACTCACAGCTCATACTGATAGCTAAGAGAGAAAATAGAGTGCTAACTCTCCCAACTGCATGCCAACTCCATATTAATTGAAGCTTTGCTAACAAATGCCAGTATAGCAGATTCCTGAACTGATGAATTTTCTCTCCAAGGATTTTTTTTTTCTTTCTTGCAAAACCTGATGCTCCTGAAATTTACATTCAACAACAAATTCTGAAGTAATGTCAAGAAATGTGTGTAGCAATTACCCTTGTAGCTGCAGACATTCTTGAAAAACATGAATATTTCTAGGCATAGATCTAGCAAAGAACAAACTGTGCAACATGGTGCATTTGCAAAAAAAAACCAAAACAAAACAAAAAACTAAAAACAAAAACACAAACAAACAAACAAACAAAAAACACCAAAAACAAAAACAACAAACCCTTTATCTGAAACCTTTATTTTATTTTTATTTTTAAAGGTTTTTTCCCCTACAACTGTATCCTTTAGTGTAAGCCATGCATGTTTGAAGATACATGTATGTTGAAAACAGATTAGCAGAAAAGTAGTAAAAATACCATCTCCTGTGTACTAAACACTCTGACTGCCCTAGAGCACAAGACAAGGAAGTCACAGTTTCCTAAAATATGCAATAGTGTGCAGAGTTAAGTTCATGTCAAAATAAACTTTTCTGTTTTCCGGACAGGTGGTGGAAACAGTATAAGTAACTGCCACTTACTAAGGTGCATCAATAGATACAATAACAGTCTACTAAAACTCTCGTATGGAATTCTAAATAATTAAATTATTGCTTGGAAAATATGTCCATGGTCGATCACCCTCTGCCTACTGAAGTGCTGGGAATTTATGACCTTCTGTTTATTTTTGTCTTCTGAGAATGAGTATGCAGTGTGCTAGGAGACTAATGATGAGAACTTATAAAAATGCTAAGATATCTGTCTCTACAGGCAGAAGCCACTTTTAAAAGACTTCTGGAAAGTGCTGAAATCAAAGTCTGACTCAATCCGGGTGAAAATGAGTTAGAGATCCTCTGGGATGAAAATGTGATTCTAGTTTCCATTATTACTGATTTATCATTTAGTTCCTCCCTGAGGAGATCTTACAGTTCAGGACAGCCTGTATTTCATCCATATTTTTCCAGATCTAAGTTCTGTTTCTGAAAGCATCTTAGGCTTTGAAAATGTGAGAAACAAAATCAGACAGAGAATGGGGATTTCTTAATTTAAAAACAAAAGCATAACCAAACAAGCTAAAAAACACCCACATTATGTCACTTAACAAACCAAGTCCATGAAAGCAAAACATTCCCATGCAAAAGCAAAATTTATGATAAGTTCTTCAGTATTTAGGCATGCATAAGGGAAAGGATCCATGGTAAATTCCATGGGGACAAGTAGAATTTTAGCTTCTGCTTTACATTTCTGCTGTTGTGTATTTAACTTACAAACGTGATGTAATTTTATAAAGATTGTCATTGAACTTTGATTTTTATGTAATCCATGCCCTGAGCTTCTCAGCTTCCTGAGAGCAAATTATTGCTTATTTGCTTCTACAAGAGTAAAATGTTCTGTTTTATCCAAAACTACTCCCATTTCTTTCACATGCCTCTACCACTGTTTTCCAGATCACTGCACCAAAACCATCACAGGCAGAAGGACTGTTATTACAAAACTTTCAACATTCAATCCATACTTTTTGAAGGGGACAAAAGGACTTCCGGCACAGACATTCCTATTGATGTTCCTTTTGAACTTGATAACAAAAATAAACATGGATTTTGCAACTTCTTTTTTCCCAGAAAGTTGTCTTTTTCACAGAACTGCAAAAGATTCTGTTAGCCCTCAATCTAAGTGTTAGTGTTAATGTCAGTATTGTTATAATAATAATCTTTAAATTACCTGTTATATAAATATTTCTTATCAACAACACTTTCTGAAATTGACAATACAGCCAAAGAAGTATGATGAAGTTAGTTCCTCCACTACTGAAGAAACTGTGCTTAAAAATTACAATGACTGTATGTCCTATGTTAAACTTTTAGTGACAAAGATAAACCAGGAAAGCTGATTTTTCCCAGAATATTAACTAGATTTGACGTAGAGTGATTCAGTCATTTGTTTTGGAGGGATGAGGAGGGTAAGGGGACATGTGACTTGCATTTAGGTAAAGATGAAAAATAAAAGAAAAATACATATGCTCGAGATTTTCAAAACAATACCTAAAATCCAGTACTGAGCTGCTTTGACATTCAAAGCTCTGCATTTCACATGAGAGCTCTGGGTGCACAAAGAGTGGAGAACCTGCCTTATTGGCTGGGCTAAGGGCTCCTAACACTCTCTTAGGAGCACAGAGTTAGTTGGCACAGCTTTAGTATTTATTTCATTATTTGTCACGTCTCACTGCAAGAAGCTGTCAGTTGTATTGCCAGGGCAGCAAACTT